TGTGAACTTCCCTCTTTTTCCCAATGTTTATATTCTTTATTGATACAAGGTTTTCAAGATAATGCTTCAGCATTTCTATGGGTTCCTTCAAAGGCTATTTACAGTTTTAAAGTTGTACTTGTGAAGTTTGTGGAGCCATTATGCTAAAATTGCAAAAATTCACCAGCCACTTTAATGTTGCACAATCTGTCCACAGTGTTAATTTTTGTCCATACAGCTAATGATGCAAATGATTTATGGCTCAAACAACATTTAGTATCTCTTTACAAGATAAATAATATCTCTTTTCTGTAGCATTCATTACTTTGAAATTGTGGGCAATGATTTGTTCTTTTCCATGTTGTTTTTGTGATAACACTGCTCCCACTGCAAAATCACTCATATTTGTATCTAATGTGAGAGAATCTTCAAGAGTTGGTTATGCTAATACAAGAACAGTGGTTATTTCTTTCTTCAGTTTATTGAATGCTTGTTTATAATAAGCAGTCCAACAAAATCTATTTGGTTTTTGAAATAATTGTGTCAGAGAATGATTTTACAAAATGAAAATAGTGAGAGCACAGTCCAAGAAATCCTCTTATCTCACACAAGTTCTTTGGTTTTGACCTATTCTGACCAGATTCAATTTTAGATGAGTCTATAGATACTTCTTTTCCACAGACTTTGTGTTAGCCAGAGTGTGTTACCTGGCTAACTGATGAATTGAGGCTGCATCTCTATTATCAATGTCATATTTTATTTGTCTCATCTAAGTCATAGGGTACACTAGAGAAGGTATCTTGATGTTCCACAAGAAATTCATGAAATCTGTGACAGCTGTAAATAAGACCTTCACAATTCCATTCAGACAGATCTTGTAACTTGTGTGAGGATTTGATATCAAACTGTATTTTGTCTTGAAGGTGACTACTTTTGATGTTTTTTGTGGAAGAACTATCTATAAAATTTCACATCTTGGAATGTCCTATCTAGGCTGGACTTTAATTTCATTGTTTGTTATGTTCATGACCTTAATAATAACATCATTATTCTTTAGATCAACGAGAGATCTTCCAACCAGTAATCTCTTAGGGCATTCTGGTATGTTTGGTTTTACTACAGTCCAACTGCTAAATGTAAATTTACTCTTAACAAGTCGTGGTATGAAAATTTTACATAGTCTATTCCCAATAGCCATGCTTCTTTAATGTCAATTACCCATACATCATGGTGTGTAAAAGAGCTTCCAACATTGAGGGTGACTTCCATCTTTTATCTTGTTGAAACTTTCTGACCACTTGCTATCCACACAAATCTATCATCTTACTTAATCTGAAGGTAATTTCATTCCTTTCATCACCAAATTATATTAAACAATTATAACTATATACCCATTGTGAATCAACATACTACAGGTCTGTTCAGTCCACAGATTAATGGATTTATCAATGATTTCTTTAAATAATGAACTTCTTATCTCAATTAGGCTGGTGGGATATTTTCAGCTAATACTAGTTCTATCACTAACTGGACAGCTTTGTTTTAAAATTTATACGTAATTTGCTTTAGCCTAGTTTGCATGTCTTCATCCACTGTGGCATCTCTAAATTGGTCATGTGGCAAATATCCATTATTTCACTTGAAGCAAGTGGGTATGAGAGGTTTTATTAAGAAAGCATAACATTTATTAGGTGTACGTAAAGGAACTAAAGTTTTCAGGCAAATTGTAAAAGGTTTGAAAATGTAAAATGTGGGTAGGATATTATGGCAAGCCTTTCTACATTTTCTACAACTTGTAAAAGTGACCAACAAGTTTTTGCTAGGAATGAGGTGCAGTGTTACTTGTCCAGCTATCAGATCTTGTAAATATGACTGATGCATAACTGCAGATCTACTAAATACTAATGGTAACCTTGTAGTTTTTGTTTCATGCTTCCTTTTATAATAAAATGGCATTCTTTCATGAGTGGGTGTCTACTTATTGTTAAGCTTTGTATATATGAATGTATGTTTTCAATTTGCACTTTATGGTTAAATATCAAAAGTGTAATTTCTTGAAATATATATTTGTGGTATATGAATATACCATGTGTTTCTATTTTCTTGTAGTATTTTATTATGAATTTGTTATTCATTCTTTGTCCTGAACATGTGCAGATTTTATATAACATGTAGTTGAGAAAACCTTTATGTCACTCTGGTTTCAAGTTACCTTTGTTTCTTTTCGAAGTAAGTAATACCTGTTACAGCCAGGAGAGGAAATTGCTTGGTATGACTTTGTGTAAGAATGTGAAAAACAGTGTCTTTCAGGTGATACGTATAATCTGTAGGTTCATCAATGTTATAATGAGAATGACCAGTCACGTGAGTAGTGTGTGTTGTAAATAAATGAGAAACAGATTGAGATTGTTTAACTAATGATATTTCATTTGATAGTGGATAATGTTTTGTGTCAAAAGAAAAAGGAAAATGTACAGGGTCATGATTGTAAGTAGACTTGCAAACAGAAGATTGTTGTTGTGAATAAAGAGGTCTCAGTGGTTGTGTTCTTAATTTCTCAGCAATTGGTTTTTTGTGATTGGGAAATTCTACCAATTCCGATTGTCTCCCGATTATGTATTAATAGGCCCGAATGCAACTGCCTAATCGGTTATTGGTAAAGCACTGCATAATATAAAATAATAACTTTAAATGAACCCAAAATAATGATTTAAAAAGAGGAATAATAATGCAATTCTCATGATTGTCTCTCAGATACCATCTTCCACAAATATTTCATTACTTGATTTCACCAGACATAGCAAGAAAGGCCAGCCATGGGCTGCTATCATCTCTGGAGTTAAGGAGGAGCTACCTAACACCTGTAGCCTCTTTGACCTACTGCTGTCTGTATCAACCAGCTCTGCTAAGACAGAGAGAGGATTCAGCAAAATGAAGATGATCAAGACCAATTTTAGATCTTGTCTGCACTTTCAATAAGTGACTTTGATCCCATAACAGCTATTCATCTTTGGAACTCAGGATCACTTCACACAGGGTCCATATTGAGAAGCAGGTGCAGGAGAGTGATGAAGAAGGGGACAAAGGAAGAATCCAAGAAATGGATATTTGGACATCATCAGACATTGACTATGATAGATATTGGATTTCATTTCATTATTTATTTTGATTAGGAAAGGACACTAATTTAAGTTTAATTCATCACCACCTAAGACGTTTTAGAGCTATTTACATGTTTTCCATATGTTGCTAATTTGAGGATTTTGCTTATTACAAATTCAAATTGTAGCTTTGTAGTGCACTGTCATAATGATAGGGGATCGTTCATCCTACCCCAAAGTTCCTGGTGATTGAGTTTTGCATTTAGAGCTGAACCAATCAATGTAAGTCCTCACATACGTGTTCGGGGTCTGGTCCCTCACTTTATGATGGTATGTGTGTGCTGTGTACATATCATGTAATACATCTGAGTAAGACCCAGGATATTGTCTCTAACATATTAATGTGGAGTAATTGTATTTATGATAACACAGCCATCCTTTTAATATGATTCAAATGTCAGGCACTTGCTAGTCCCCATAGTCTGAATTTCATTCACCAGCAGTTCTTTCACATTTTTGTAATCAAATTTACTTTTGAGTAATAATCTGTAATACAAATTTTTTGTTTAATGTTGTACTAAAATGTTTACCACACAGTAATACAGGCCTCGACACATATTTTCAGAGCTAGGAGCCAGCCAAAAAATTCGGGAGTCAGGTGTGCCTAACCTAACTTCACTATCCATGCCTCTATTATTCGGATTCTCAATTATCTGCAGGTTTTTCTTATCCCCAAATTTTTTCTAAATAATTGTGCAGTTACAATTCTAGACAATAATTTTTATGTTTTGGAGAAATTGTCACTCTGAAGTTAATTTTGTTTGCCAAAGTTCAGGTGTTGCATGATATCTGGATTTTTCGTGTGTAGGATCTGGTGTGAATTCAAATTATAAATCTTCTGTGTCTATAGCAGAAAAAGTACCAAAATTTAGGAGCTATTTATGCATATTTTAGCAATTAAATTCTACTAAAACAGGAATGAGCAATTAAAAGAAGAAGTATTATAGGAGAAAAAGTGGAATTAGATTCGTGTAACTCGTGAAATTCAGAGAAACCAAGCATGACTGACCAACACTTGGCTTTTATGATTAGGATTGTAATGACTTTTATAATTTTTTCTGATAATGTAGTTACATGATAGTAAAAAAAAATTATAATTTAAAACAAAGAACTTGTATATATATATTGAAAAAATTTTACTTAGATTAAACATTGGGCTAACTAGTGAGATACGCTAGTGCCTCAGTTAACGACTGTTTCTTTTATACACAATTTTTTGCTTTCCCTGGTCCAGCATGAAATAATTGAGATATCAGTGTATCTGTATTTACTTTTACAGCAACTAGTGCATACTAACAATTACATAATATCAACTACCACTTGATAGTATTGCCAGGACTAACTGCCTTCGGTCTTCTCTGAGTCTAAACACATGCATTGATTGGTTGAATTGAAAGAAAGAAGAAAAACAAAATGCCCCAAAATTAGTAATGTGTTGGACAACTGCAGAGCTTCATTCTTGAAAATACATGAAGAATTGCTGACATTAAAATCCTAGAAACAATGTTTGATTTAGGACACAAAGAATGTGGAAATAGTTCCACATCTCCAAGTGTTCTATTTAGCACAGCTCTATGCACTAATAAAATGGGAGAAACTACTACGTGCCATAATGAGATTTTTTAGTTGCCATGTTTACCTTGGGCCTGGAATTTGTTGAGGCCTGCAGTAATATTACTTGATTATTATATGTTCTTACCATAGGTTTTCCAGAAGTCATAGTGGTGGATTAAGCTAAGGTATTGGTATAAAAGGTATTGACATGTTAAAATTACTTTTTTTTAAGAACTGCTTTATTAGTATTTTGCATGCTTACATGACATTTGGGAGATTTTGATTTTGAAAGCTGTTTTGTTTCAGAGTGTTGAAAGCGTGATGCCAAAACACAGTATTAGTGGTTCCTGTCATGAAGATGATGATAAGGAAGTTCCAGACAGTAAATTCCAGAAACTTGATGATCCCAACATTTATCAGGGATTAGGTGTTGAAAATTCTGTATATAAAGAACTTGGTAGTAAAAATGAAATACTTCCTCTTTTTGACAATATTTGCCAAAGTTCTTCCAGTGAACACTTAAAACTGAAAAATAATTATACCACTTCCCCTGAAAAACATCAACAAAAAATCAACTCAATTTGCAGGCCTCTTTGTAAACAAAATGATAGCTGTGATAGACTACCAGTTCATAACAGAATCATTTATGATAGTAACAGAAAGCAAGATGAATCATCTGTAAGTACCACTGTTTTGCAGGGTTCAGAGACAAAGGAACATACAGTTGTTAACCCCCAGTCCAGTCTTGCTACGAATGAAACTGTAATTCAGGAAAACAATTGTAAAACGAGCACAAATAGTAGTAGCAGCACTTTTTGTCAAGATTCTAATCATAGAAAAGAGACATTGAACCTCGGAAATATTGCCTGCCAGGATGCTGCCCTTAAGAATAAACAGAAGACAGTAGCATGTGATGATAAGTATGAACAGGATAAGATATTAAAAGTTAACTGTGTTTTGTGCCAAGATACAGAACACAATCAAGTAAACATGGGAGTAAATCTTTCTGTTCCACAGAGTTCTGACTCCACTCATGATATAAATATAGAAAACAGTATTGTAAACAAAATTACTGACCAAACACAGGAGCAACCAGCTACTAGTGATAATGTAAAGAGATGTGCAGACCATCAAATGATAAAAGACTGTGAAGGTGATCTCTTCCAACATACTGACCATAGACAAGAGATACTTGAATGTTATGACCCTAAGAAAAAAATTAATTATTTTGCTCCAGAAACAGTTGTAACTGATATTACCAAATACCAAAATATTGACCCAATACAGAAAACAGGGCCTGTTACTAAGTCTGTAAGTCAGGAAGCATTAAGTATGGAAAATATTAATAACAGTGAGTATACATATGCTAGAAAAAAAATACCATTGGCTGAACATATTTCGAACAAAGAAATAGAATTAAAAAAGGTAAAATTAGAAGCTCATGACACTTTGAGATATGTTTTAGACCCTGGAGATGATGGAGTGAAACCTCTAGCAAGTAATGATTATAAGAAGCAGAGTACAAGTCATAGAAAACCAACCCCAAAATCTAATATCTGTGTAATTAAAGGTATGGACCCTACAAAGGAGGAAGTTACAGATGAAGATAATGAGAAACAGAACTTTGATTACAATCATGGAGTACTACAAGAAATCAAACCTGACACATTTTTAGTTGATGACACCATGAAACAGCCAACAGACTTCAGACAGGGGATTCATGTTTCTGATAATACTGTGAATAATTATGCAGAACCCAGTCAAGCAGAATTCAGAAAGGAACTATTATCTGCAGATGAAATTGAAAGTCAGACGACACTAGTAATTGATGATACTATGAGTCTGAATATAGACTCTAAGCAAGTGGAGGTACTAGCTAATAATGACTCCATCCAGGAGGCACTACAAATCGATAGTACTGTGAGTCAAAATACAGAACCTAACCAGGTAGCTTTAGAAGTTAATTGTAGTGAAGGCAAAGATACTAATCCCCAACAGCAGCTAACGGAAGTAAATGTTTCTGAAACCCTGAATCCTGTAAGTGAGCAAATCAGTTGTCAAATTCCAGAAGATTATAGCCAATCAAGTTGTCAGTCTGTATGTAGTGAAAATGCCCATGCTTCCAGCAGTATTAAAGATGTGAAAATCTCCGAGTGTGATGAACCAATTAAGGAAAAAAAGAAAAGTGTTTCTTTCAATGGAGTAACAGTTTACTATTTTCCAAGAATTCAAGGGTTTTCCTGTATCCCCAGTAAAGGAGGGTCAACTTTAGGTAAGTTCTTTTTCTTTTTTTTAAACAATATAATCAGGATAGTTTGTTTATTGAAAGTTTTGACATTTATTGTGGATAAGAATTCTTGTGTGTCAAATAGCATATTACTAAACTGAGCTTTTTATATCAAATTTTATCTTATTTTTATTGTACAGTTAAATTTTAATCAAGGTTAAGTGTTTATATATATATATATATATATATGTGTGTGTGTGTGTGTGTGTGTGTATATAACAAATAGTTGGAGATGATATGTGAGGGTTTGATTTTAAATACTTTAAGAACTTCCATTTATGAAACTAGTATGTGCATGTACAGTTATGTAAGATTTATTTTAACTTGTTTGTGGATAGCTTGGAATATAGTAATTAGTGAATGTGTTGGACAAATATAAGTCTAGTTTCCATCAAACAAAGAAAATACTTTATAACTTTATTTAAAGTTGTCTTGGTAACTTCCAGTTGGTGTGGAAAATATTAAAGGCTAATTTGCATAATGATAAATATTTGCAAACCAGATAATTCATATGTGAGAGACAACCACTGTTATTTGGACACAGTTTGCTTTACTGTCTTATGCTGAACCTTAGTGAACATGTTAACTTTGCAATTGGGTGACATTAAAATAACTAAGCATGAAATAGTTTTAATTGAAGAGTTTTTAATACCATTAAATCTTTAAATGGTTGGTCAATTTTCTTGTTCTTTTTTCCTTCATTACCTGTTTATAGTATGTTAGAGTGAAGTGAGATAAAGCTGAACATGCATTGTTATTGTATATAAGGAATTAGAGGTAATTATTCAAACAAATAGGTGATTACAAATACAGGAGTAAAAAAAAATAAGTATTTGCAACTTATAGCAAAATATATTATTACAGAAATGTGAAAGAAAATTAAGTTTTACAGTGCAGTACTATTTTATACTTGTGTTAAGCAGAATAGTATATTTTTTATTGTGTTACCATAAGCTTACCAATATAGGATTATGAAATATTGTTGCAAATGTCCTGTATTACTCCACACGATTCAGTCAAGTTGCTTAGTTACTGTGTAACCTTTCAGTTTCTGTATGTGTGTGCATACCACTATAACAGTGGTGGGATTCAAATATTTTAACAACAGGTTCTCTCACTAGCAGCATGTAAAAATATTAGATATTAAAAAAAAGGAGGGGCCAGAAAGCCCCCCCCCCCATCACTGAGAAAATAAAATAGGCCGTCACGAATAGTGTTAAAAATTCTTTAGAAACTTTCAATTAAAAAAGTGTTTTATAATCTTTCAACTTAACAAAATTCAAATCTTTATTAATTTCTTCCATACGTAATACGTTAAAAAATATATTTCAAAAAAAGTAAAGAAGAAAAAACAAAAAATAAATAAAATGGATAGTAACAGGTGAAAAACAAAGAAATGAATTATTAGAGAAAGTGGTCCTGTTATATGTGGAGCAAAAACACAAAAATTTATATTTCTTAAAAATTTAAAAATGTATTAAACTAATGCATAGATGATAGATCTATCATCTAACAAATTTTATAAATTATTGGGGAAAAATATTTTCTAATGCAATTTTGTGCTTGCCAATTAGTACCATAACATTTCAATTTTCATAGCTGTATAAGGTATATTAATTATATAGATCTAGGGGCCTTAGGTATAATAATAATAGATTAACGTAATTATTTAGATAAGAATCTGTAGAAAAAGGGTTCACCC